TCTATCAGATTCAAGGTATCAGGTTTTATGATGAGGTCCTTCATTTATTTGGAGTTGACTTTTGGGCATGGTGAGAGATAGGAATCTAGTTTCATTCTTCTACATATAGCTGTCCAGTTTGACCAGCATCATTTGTTGAAGAGGCTGTCTTTTCTACTGTGTGGAGTTTTGGTATCTTTGTCAAAAGTAAGGGGCTGTAGGTACATGGACTTATATCTGGGTCCTCAGTTCATTGGTCAAGTATGTCTGTTTTAACACTGGTACCATACTGCTGTCGCTTTTTTCAAGGACTGTGGACTTTTTAAAATTAATTAATTAATTTAATTATTTTAACTTTTACAAAAACTTTGAGAATTTCATACATGCATATGTTTTGAGCAAATCCATGCCCACTCCCTCCCCTCCAACATTCCCCCCTCTGAAGAGGTGACCCTAAAATATTTTAAGGATTAGATACAAGCTCCCAAATATTTTTGACACTTTGACATTTTTTGCCTTTGGAACAGATTGTGTTGCTAACAGGCCCAAGGACATTTTTGACTTTTATCCCCCAAACTGGCTACATTTCTTTGGGGTCTTTTTACCCTAACTGCCTTGCCAATTCCTACTTCCTATTCTTATCACACCATTCTCTGAAGGGGTTACCCGAATTACCAATAGGGAATAGGGATGCCAACTGCTCTGGCTTCTTCCATGCTGAACAGGGATGCAGGGTGAGGCAATTGGAGTACCTCTTCAGTGGAAGTTGGACTATAAAGTGGCTATTAAAAGGTGTTGGCTTCACAAATGGCTATTAAGCTATATATTCTTACCCCTTTGGGGACCATTAAGAGCTAGAAAGTTTGTAGATTGCATCATGAAATTGTATTCAGCAATATCCATTGATTTGACATTGTACTGCTCTTCCAACACCCCTGGACTCTGCAGGCACCAGCATATAGGTGCATATACCCCCACACAGAGCACACATATGATGCACACATAATCACAAAGTAAATCTTTGGGTTTTGTTTTATTTTGTATTTTTTTGAGACAGAGTCTCACTATGTAGCCCTGGCTGGCCTGGAACTCACAGAGAGCTGTCTGCTTCAGCCTCCCAAGTGCTGGGATTAAAGGCGTGTGCCACCGTGTCCAGCCAGAGATCCAGTTTTGACAGCACCATGTGTTGAAGATGCTGTCTTTCCTCCATTGTGTGTTCCTGGCACCTTTGTCAAATATCAGGTGGCTGAAATTGCATTTACTCATATTTGGGTCTTCAATTTTGTTCCATTGCTCTATCGGTCTATTTTTGTGCCAGTACCATGTTGTTTTTATGACTATGGCTCTGTAGTATACTTTGAGATCTGGTAAAGTAATCCTCCCAGCATTGCTCTTTGTGCTCAGGGTTGCTTTGGCTATCCTGGGTCTTTTGTACTTCCATATGAATTTAAGGATGGATTTTTCTGATTCTGTGAAGTATATCCATCTCCTGGTGTCTTCCTCAATCTCTTTCTTTAACAATTTAAAATTTTCATTGTAGAGATCTTTAGTGTCTTTGGTCTGGTTTATTCCAAGATACTTTTTTTGTAGATATTGTGAATGGGAGGGTTTCGCTGTACCCTTTCTCCAATTGCTTGTTATTGGCATATAGAAAGGCTACTGATTTTTGTAGATTTGTAACCTGCTCCTTTACTGAAAGTGTTGATAAGTTCTAGGAGCTTTCTGGGGAAATTTTTGGGATCTCTTAGGTATAGTATATCTTCTGCAAAAATTGATAATTTTTTCTGGTGGAATTTGGGGATCTTTATGCATAATATCATATCATCTGAAAATAGGGATAATTTGACATCTTCTTTTCCAATTAGTACTCCTTTAATTTCTTCTGTCTTATTGCTCTAGCAAAAGTTTCAAGCACTATGTTGAAAAGGAGTGGAGATGGTGTACAGCCTTGTCTGGTTCCTGATTTTAATGGGAATGCTTCTAGTTTTTCTCCATTTAGAATGATGTTGGCTGTGGGTTTGTTATATATGGCTTTAATTATGTTGAGGTATGTTCCCTCCAGTCCAATTCCCTCTAGGACTTTGAACATAAATGTATGATGAATTTTGTCAAAGGCCTTTTCTGCATCTATTTATATGACAATGTGGTTTTTGTCTTTGAGTCCATTTATATGATTAATGACGTTTATTGATTTGCATATATTGAACCATACCTGCATCTCTTGGATAAAGCCGACTTGATCATGGTGAATGATCTTTTTGATGTGTGTCTGTATGCAGTTTGCAAGTATTTTGTTGAGAATTTTTGCATCTGTGTTCATTAAGGATATGGGTCTATATCCTTTGGTTGTGTCTTTACCTGGTTTGGGTATTAGAGTGATATTGGCTTCATAGAAGGAATTTGGGAGTTCTCCCTAGATTTATATCATTTTGAATAATATAAGTAGTATTGGTTGGAGGTCTTCTTTAAATGTCTGGTAGAATTCTTCTGTAAATCCATCTGGGCCTGGGCTTTTTTTATTTGGGAGGCTTTGTATTACTGTTTCGATTTCCTTATATGTGTGGGTCTGTTTAAACTGTCGATCTGTTCTTGGTTTTACTTCGGAGGTTCCCATGATTTCAGATATCCATCCATTTCTTTTAGACTTTCAGATTTAGTAGCGTACAGGTTTTTAAAAATATTCCCTTATAATGGTCTGGATCTTTTGGGTGTCTATTGTGATGTTTCTTCTTTTATCTCTGATTTTGTTGATTTGGATTTGCTTCTTCTTACTTTTGTTTAACTGGGCTAAGGGTCTGTCTATCTTGTTTAGCTTTTGAAAGAACCAGCTCTTCAATTCATTGATTCTTTGTTTTGTTTTCTTTGTTTCTATTTCATTAATTTCTGCTCTGATTTTTGTTATTTCTTCTCTTCTGCTGGGTTTGGGTTTCATTTGTTCTTGCCTTTCCAGTGCCTTGAGTTGCAGTGTTAGGTCATTTATTTGGGCTCTTTCTAATTTTTTAAGGTAGGCATTTAGAGCTATAAGCTTCCCTCTTAGGACTGCTTTTAATGTGTCCCAGAGGTTGTGTTGTGTTGTATTGTCCTTTTCGTTGAATTCCAGGAATTCTTTTATTTCTTTCTTAATTTCTCCTTTGACCCACTCATTGTTTAGGAGTGTGTTGTTCAATCACCAGGAGTTCTTGTAGTGACTAGGGCTTCATCCAGTTTTGATTTTGAGCTTCGTTGCTTTATGGTCTGATAGAATGCATGGAATTATTTCAATATTTTTGTATTTGTTGAGGTTTGTTTTTTGGCCCAGTACGTGATGAATTTTTGAAAAAGTTCCATTGGGTGCTGAGTAGAAAGTATATTCTTTGGTGTTTGGGTGAAATAATCAAATGATGTCTGTTACGTCCATTTGATGTATCGTATCATTTAATTCAGATGTCTCTCTGTTTATTCTTTGTCCAGATGACCTGTCTAATGGAGACAGTGGGGTACTGAAGTCCCCTCC